ATGCCAGACTCCAACTCACTGAGATCCGCCTGCCTCCTGAGTGCTGGGATTAAAGGTGTGCACATGACCGCCTGGCTACACTATTACTTTTAAATTAACAAAATCAATTATTTTCTTCTGTAACAAGGTAACTTTCTTGACCCTGCTAAATCAAAGACGAGAGAAATACAATACAACCATTCTTATAAATACAAGAAAAAATTAGCACTATCCTAAAAATGAACGTGGATCCCATGTGAGGGTATCACAGGACACAAGTTGTAGGTAACAAAGTTCCCAGGAGCCTTTGCTTTCTGTACCTCTGTACACATAACAGTCAATAAAATTTAGAAGGACTTTATTTTTTCTCTCTTCCTATTGAGCGTTAAGAAACGGTTGCTTTTATGGTTAAATGGCATTTGCCAGATTGCAAAGTCTCCATTGTTAACCTGAACATTTGCTCTGCATGGTTTATGAGGGCAACTGCTCATCATAACAGGGCCAGGCTGGACAGGGTAGCATGTTTGCTGCCAACATGAGCAGTTCCTTCTCCTGAAGAGAAATCTGAAGTCTTTTAAAATGAGTTCATACACAAAGTGTTTTCACACTTAAAGGAGAGAAGATTGGGGTAACAGAAGATTGTTTTAAAAGTTTGTAGTGATTTAATATGAGGTGCATTCAGAAAGTAAAATGTACACACTCCAGGAAACATATAGACCCAAGGTCGACCCAAAGCACTTCTCTTTTAGGAGTAGTGTTTTCTCTTCCCTAATAAAAGCTTTCTTTAGCAACAGATTCTGTCAGCTGTGTGGAGAATTTCCAGGCTGTCACCTTCCTGTCTGAGATTTGTCCTGACTTTTAATTTTAATTCTGTGACTGTCAGAGAACACGATCCTGATCCAGACCCCTAGACTGTAACACAGCTAAGAGACTGCTTTGCAAGTCTGTATGAGTCTTCAGGCTTTGTTGGAGGGTCTAGTATCATACACAGTTTTCTAATTAGCATGTATTAAAAGCCTGATGTGTTGACATTGTTTTCTTATAACATAGCCAGAACACATACTTTTTTATAACTATATTGCCGTGTACCTGAAAGTGCTTATACAACCAGATGGTGATTAGATCAGTATCCCACATCGGAACCTAGGTTTTGAATCACAGTTCTGCAATCTATTAAAATGAGTTACTCAACTTAAGCTACCTGATTTCTTTGCCTAACACCATTGCATTTGCTTCTCAGAGCACCTGGAGACAGGCTTTACAGGAGTTGGCTTTTGTTGAAGGAATTCATTCAGCCAATAACCTTTCTGATAGCAGATCATTAGAGCATGGTCTGAGATAATATAAGCACAGACAGGGAGCCAGGAAGCGGGCTCTCCCTTTTTATCTCGCTTGGTTGATGGTCAGAGTTAGGTTCACAGCACCCAGCACCCACTGAGCAGAAGAGGAACGCAGCGGCTTTCTTATTTTGAGTGTTCCCCAATAAACATGTTTTCCTCATGTGCTCGTGGACCTCCTCAACTATGCCTCCAGGCTTTGAGAAATGGTAACTGTTGACATCATTGTAATAATAATAATAATAATAATAATAATAATAATAATAATAGAATAATGCTTGATGGTGGTTTAATTGATATTTTTTCTCTGGCTTCCTCATGAATATGGTTACCAGATAAGTAAGTCAAGGTAGAAATTGTACCTATCTCCAAGAACATTACTTGACCTGATCCATAAAGCTTGTTTAAAATTGTATATTACTTCTGGGACTCCAGAGAGATCTCTGGAGCTAGTCAAGAGCTTACCTTAGAAGCACAGAGTCTAAGTTTTATACCACCTTCAAATAAATTATTATAGTGCACATTTCTGATACCAGCACAGGTAGACAGGACACAAGCAGAAACCTGGTGTTTAGTGGCTGGCCAAGCTAGTCTATTTGATGATTTCCAGCCAATGAGAGATACTCTCTCTCCAAAGGAAAATGAATGGCAGGTGAAAAACTACCCTGAAAGTTGTCCTGTGGCCTCCACGTGCACACATATGCATGTACACTCACACACAGGTCCATATACAAATTTGCACATATACTGTCATACACCCCAATAAACCGGATATAACTGGATATATAGAGAGGTGCAATGTTTTTTAAAACACCACTTCAAGACAACTGGGTGCTATTCCTGTGGATGTAGGATGTCTTCATGAGCACAGCAGGAATTCTTTCCAACGCTAAGTATCAAGCTACTACCTAACAGACCCTTGGCCGCTTCACAAAAGCCAAATCATTTCATCCTCAGAGCTGCGCTGTGAAGTAGACGGCATTATCACCGTCTTACAGCTTAATAGAGTGACACTCACAGAGAGATTCCAGCAGCTGCTAGGTCTGTCTGGCTGCTCTGTGTAAACCACTCGGCTCTCCACATCTGTACACTCTCCCTAGGACCACAAGGATCTCCATTAGGAACAGCTGGTCGGAATCTGTAGATTCTGAAGTTTAAAAACCTAATCATGTATGGTGTTCACCAATGCAGCCTAAAATACCAAGAATACAGTATTTCAGGATAATAACTTTAAGTGCACACAATTTACTAAGATCCAGGCTGTTCTTAAACGAACAACCTATTCGTTAATTAAAAGATAATTATCACAGCCTTGAAATTCATGTAGTGTGTGTTTTGAGACATGTTAAAGTAAGTGATTAATGTGCTTAAGTTTAATTTCTCCAGTTAACTACTTTGCTGGAAAACTCTGCTAAATAGAATGGACTTAAAACTCCATCCAGTAAGACAAAGTAGTAGTCTCTGTGTGTGTTTATGTGTGTGAGAATGCATATGTGTGTATGAACGCACATATATATATATGTGTGGATGTATATTGTGTGTGTATGTGTGCGCATGTATGTGTGCATGTGTGTGACTGCATCTGTGTACATCTATGTGTGTGGATGCATGTATATGTGTGCGAATGCATGTATGTGTGCAGAATGTATGTGTGTGTTTTGTGTACGAATATGTGTATGGTCTTGTGTGGAGGTCAGAGGTCAGTCCGATGTATTCCTCCACTGAGCTACACTTTACTATTTTTGAGGTGGAGTCTCTCATTGGCCTGGAGCTCAGCAAGTAAGCTAGGCTAAACAGCCAGTGAGCACTAGGGACCCACCTACATCTTCCTCTCAGCTCTGAGATTACCACACATAGCTTTTTTTTTTTTTTTTCTAACTTGGGTTCTGTGGATCAAACTTAGGCATTTATGTCTGGATGGTACTTTCCTGGACTTAGCAATGTTCCCGGTCTCCATGGCTTTTATGTCCTGAATAGGAAGTGGGGGATGTTGGGATGTCGGCATTTGAACAGGAAAACAAGGAAACACTGCAATTAGTTATGCGAGAGCAAAGTCAAAGCTAGAACGAGTAAACTGTAACACTAATTGAACATAATTAAGCAACTCTTCATGCTACAGCATGAAGTTTGTGTAACAAATTGAGAAGTACCCAGCACTAAGACTCCTTAGTAATTTGCTCTGGGAAGCTTTTCAGATTGCCCTCGGCGTCAGAGCCACAGAGATCTTTTCAGCGGCGCTGGGGCCCTCTTAGTTTGCTCTTCTGGAGAGAGACAATGCTTTCTAGCATAGCTGGGAGCTGAAATTCGCTACATGATATGCAGTGATGGAAGCCGTGGGATAAAATGTCAGATTGTGTCCACAGACAATAAACCTTGCTTATTTTTCTACTGCGTTCATAGCCTGTAGTAATTGATAAACACTTTTTTTTTACCACACTGTCAACATTCTTCGTGGTTTCTCCTTGTGGCTCTAGGTCACTGGAAACTCGGCACACAAACACGCCTCTGTACAAAGTGAAGTGGAAGACAGGACTGAGAAAACCACCAGACAGTACCGAAGGAACAGATTTTGGCTTCTCCACTCCTATGGCCCTAAACTAGCTGAAACCAGTGCTTGAAGATAAACATCTTCTGACTTGGTTGGGCCACAAGGTAAGCTGGAAGGACATAGAGAAATAGGAAGAGTGACAGTGTTGAGGGCCAGCCCTTTTCTGTCCCCATTCTAAGTTATTCTGGTCATGTGTGAGTCTGTGAGAAAAGAGAACCGGAAGCGTCTACGTGTTTAGTCATCGATGAAGCAGAAATTAGATTATGCTCCCCACTCTTACAGGATTCTGAAATTCTATACCAAAAACCGGGATGTATCAACTAATCTAAAATACTTAAGTATTTTTCCCAAGATCTTTGCTTTGGACACCTTTATGACTTTTTAGCCCTATGCAAGAAGAAATTGTCTAAACCCTTTAGGTTGCATCAAATAAGCAACATGCTTCCTATTTTAGTGGATTGAGCTACTCTACCCTCTTCCCAGCTTCTTCTTTAATTACTCAGTGAGAACATATGTAGCCATAGGTATCTTAACTCACATCAGGGGAAGAAGGTTACTGAGAGAAAACCACAGAGGTGAGTCAAACAAGGGGGAGGACTATTGTCTGCCAGGAGTCTGCCCCTGGCTGAGAGGGAGGCTCAGCCTTTCTTGGTCAAACTCTAGCTTGTGGAGTACAAAGGAAGTGTAGGAGTGAAGATAAGAACTTGTGAATTTCACATTTAAAATTTCTGTTATCCAAATGTTTTCATTCTTGATAAAATCACTAATTGGTAGCTTTCTTATTCATGAAACTTTTTGCCCGGGGCTGATAAAATAACTGACCCAACCCTATGTCTCTTGAGACCTTGCAGGGACCCTTCCCAAAACGGCAAGAAGCAGAGATTTCACAAAAAAAAAAAAAAAAAAAAAATCCTTCCATTGTATTGCTATTTACTAACCTACAATGAGGTACGTGATTGAAGGGGGCTGGGAGAGGAAGCCACTGGCCATGGGATTGAAGAACGTTTGCCTATGCATAACTTATACACCTTATCACCCACCTCAAAGTATTAGACATGAAATATGGTTACTTAGAAAAGGGGCGGGGAAACAGGTTGGTTCTCTTTGTGCGCAGCAGACCACAGCCCATACTCTACCTCCGCCAACCACCACAGCCACGGGCTCACAGGTGCTGATGCAGTGCAGGAGGGAACTGAGGCGAATGTTGGAGTTGAGGAAGGCCACCACGCAGCCCAGCTTAGCCAGGCCAAACCACACATGAATGAAGTCGGGCTCGTTGCTCATCAACAGAGCCACAACATCCCCCCTTTTCAGTGAGGAGTGGTTCAGGAAGGCATGGGCGACTCTGTTGCTCCTCTTGTCTACGTCCTCGTAGGTGTAAACGTCTCCTTCATAAATAATGAAGGCTTTCTGGGGTTGCCTCTTGGCGTGGCTCAGGAACTTATCCAGCACAGTGACCAGCTCCCCTCTCATTTTGTATATCGTCATCTGAATTCCATAGCGCACCACCTTCAGCAGGAACCACAAGTCGTCCCAGAAGTACGGGAACAGAAGTTTCTGCACCAAGTGCAGGAAGAGCAATCCAGCCCCAAATCCTGTGAGCCAAGGCAGAAGCATGACTGCCCTGGCCACCAGTTGACCCAATGGGTCCTGTTAGTGTCTTTCTTTTCCAAAGGCTTCACCTCCTTTACCCTGGAGACCCTTGTCCTAAAAGCTCAGGGCTGGAACTTGCAGTTCTGGCTCAGGCTTTCTGTGTATATCCTGTGAAAGAAATCACTCGAAGGCAACGGAAAGCTGCTGATAAGGCTTGGGACACTGGACCCCCGCAGTGCTGTAGAGCAGAACACTTGAGTCTTCTCTAAAAAAAAAAAAAAACGACTGCACACACAGTTCTCTCTCTCTCTCTCTCTCTCTCTCTCTCTCTCTCTCTCTCTCTCTCTCTCTCTTTCTCTCCTAAAAATGAGTCCCCCACAGCCCAGTGTTACCAATCCTCTTTGCTGCCAGAGCGGGCTGGATGCAGGAGACTCTGGGCTTCAAGCTGGGAAGGTCTTTGGCTTCTCTTGGTCCTTGCAAGAACTAGGTTATGCTCGTCTGTACCTCCGCAGGTAGATGCTCCCCTTTGATTGCCAGGATCTGGAGGCTGAACTGGAGATGGAATTCTAAAGAAAGGCAGTGGTTTGTTCCGGGCTCCTGACTGTGCTCACGCAGGGGCTCAGCCACGCCTCGCAGTCCCGAGACAGATTCTGCAGCCAGAGTCACTCTTCTCCAGTCACCCTCGCCCCGCCCAGGGCAAGGCTCTCCCTTCCCCGCCCACACAAGTTCGGTCTGCTGGAAGGAGCTGCTGGCCACAGAAGCTAGGGATCTTCCCAGTGTCCTTGGAACTGGAAGAGCCACCCCGCCTACGTCCTGCCTCCCCCCAGCTTTGAGCCAGCTTGGCAGTGATTTCCTGGACTCTCAGCGGTCTTGCTGAGCAAATGACCCTCCTCTTCCACGTGGCAGTGTGGTGGCAACATCATGCTTTAAGACCTGCCTCAGGCCGGATGTCCCACAGTCTCATGTAGAATAACATAGGTACTGGAAAGCACGGTATGGGGGTGTCTGGAGGACCCAGCTATTGGCCTTGGGTTAGGGGTGATGAGGGGCTTCTGGAGAGACTAGTGAGGTGAAAGAATGCTGCCCCAGAGGGTTATTAGTAGATTTAGCAAACTATTGATGGAGTTAAAAGTAAAAGCATTCAATAAACAAAGCAAAACCTGCCGAAAGAAGACTGGAGATGAGTGTACACTTAGGAAGAAGTTGGGCCCCAAAATGATTATTTTCTGAAGAAAAGTAGAATGCTTGAACTCATCTAAGAAAGTTCCCGTTGTCTTTGTTTACAATAGACGAATTTTAAAGCACATTTTAAGTTAATGTTGGCCTGTCCGTTGCAACACTGTCTTTAGAGTGCCAATGTCAAAAAATTGATTTAATATTTGAAGTCACCACCGTAACTTTTAAAAGTATGAAATGATGCCTATTTTGGATTTTTGGAAGGGATGAAGTGGGTAACATGAGGGCAGCTGGGAGTTGCAGCAATTGTACGAAATCTGTGCATGGAATTCTCTAAGAACAATTTCAATAAGGTATTTTAAAACAGTATTATTTTTTCAATTAGGTATTTTAAACAATTGTCAGAGTTCAGAGGATTTCTCAGGTATGCTTGCAGCTATGGCAGTGGTTCTCAGTCATCCCAATGCTGGGACCCTTTAATAGTTTCTCATGTTGTAGTGACCCCCAACCATACCATTATTTTTGTTGATACTTCACAACAATATTTTTGCTTCTGTTATGAGTCATAGCACAAATGTTTTTTAGAGAGAGAAGTTTGCCAAAGGGGCCACCACCCACAGGTTGAAAACATTGAGCTATATTAAAAGAGTACATATTTTTATACAAAGAGAATTTTACTAAAGATAAAACACAGAGGATCATTTAATTATGCATTTAAATGGCTTTTTATGTATTTACATACAAAATACATATTTATAAGTGTGTATATGTGTTCATGTATGTACCCTTGCAAGTAGATGTACACACTGGTGTGTAACCTTGGCTATGGAGGCCAGAAGTTGATATTTGGTATCTTCATTTATCATTCTCCATATTATTGTTTATTATTACTCTGGTGATGCTGAGACTCGGGCTCTCGCTGAATCTAGTGGAATGAGCAAGAACAGCTGGTCAACAAGCCTGGGGGAGGCGGGTCTCTAGTTTCTGGTTCCCTAATAATGGAACTGCAACCCTGTGCCACCTGGCCTGATATTTCATATCAATGTAGGGGATTCAAACTCTCTTCCTCATGCTGGTTGGGCAAGCACTTGACTCATCTCATTCGCTCTTGCTCATAAATTCGTTGCTACCAGACATCATCAGCCAGGTTCTTTGCTTTTAAATGCTAATTAAATAATCGTTAGTGCCTCATTATCTCTGTTTTTTTTTCCCTTCCATCAACAGGCTTAGCTAACTTCAATCACTTTAAGAAACAAAAAGCAAAAAAGAAAGAAAAAAGAAAGAAAGAGAAAGAAGAAAGAACAAAAGAAAATAAAGAAAGAAAAGGAAAACAAAAAAAGGACAAAATAATAACAAAACCTTTGTAAAAACCAAACACATGCTGTACTTGCCTTGGTTAGTTTGATGCCACAGTAAAGGTCCCTGGAGTCACAGACTGCTAGATCCTTCCACGAAGATGAAGAGAATGCTTTATAACTCGATGCACAAGCTCTTATCTTCTCAATTCAGAAACATCTCTTCGGGTAAGAAGGGCTGTAACAGTGAGCATTTTAGACCTAAAGAGAGTGTCTGAAATGGCATCGTTTGCCCTCTTGGCTCAGTGATTCAGTAACATCCTGGAAAACCACTTTGAGGCACAAAGTTAATACGGAGCAGGCCGTGTCTCAGGTGGTTCTCTCACTGATATGAATAAATCTCTTTTCCCACAGGAAAATGTGTTTTTTTTTAATCTTCTAACACCTAATTTTTAGCAATGGTCAATATAAATGGGAATATAGAATGGACAGAGCCATCAGTGTGAGGCAGTCTAATCAGCAAATAGACTCTTAATACGTCAAACTCTAACATATTAAGATCTACAAGGTCATGTTACTAAAGCTTCTACAGGCTCACACCAGCTTCCTATGTGAACTCTCCCCGTGGAAGATGAACTGTGTGAGCATCTTGAAGCACTTGTTAAGAGGCCTGTACATTTCTGTATCAGCACATGAATCAATTGTCTCATCCATAAGTTTTTTTACTACTTTCCATATTTTTTACACTACTTTCCATATTTCCAAAGACAGCTATCAAAGATGAATGTCACTTAAGTAACAATACCAAGTTATTTGTACAAGGGCTGGCAGACAGCAATAGCTACAAGATCAAAGACTTAAGTAAAATAAAGAGAAACCTGAGCAAACAATTCATTTAGACCCCCGTCCTGAGAGTGCCTTTGATCAGGGACAGTGCAGTACTGCCCAGGTTACCCTTGGCATACACATCAATGTTATGATTTTCTCTAAGTGTATTTGAAAATAATAATAATAAAAACAGAGTGACTAAATACAAATCAGTACAGGAAGAGAAGGGTCTTCCTACTCTGCATATGCTCTTCTCAACCCCCGTCTCAGTTCGGATTTGGCATTCCTCTCTATCCTTTTTCCAGTCCCTTCTGCACACTCAGTTCTGCTGAGGAGGAACTGTAGCAAATGACGAATGCCACACTGAACAAACAGCATCATGGGATGGGCACCAACACTTCCCCCAGGACACTGCCTCGGGAATCTCCACTTTCCTCCCATGCTTTCTGGTACAGTAATGCAGAAGTAATGCAGCCTTGGGGCTCTGGGAGGTTGAGATGAGAAAAAAGAGACTGAGAGAGATTTCATGGGATGCAAGCTGGATGAAAAGCATCACAATGGATACTTGCTGTGGATCAAGAAGCTGGCTACTTAATCCTGCCAGGGCTTGGGGCAAAAGAGAGAAGTGGTGTCATATATATTAAAGATTTGACTGCCTCTAAAAATAAAGGACTGCACCTTCTCAGGTTCTCTTGCAGAAAACATTCCTGTAGAAGTGGGTCTTTGTGGATCATGCGCGGAGAAGGAAATACGATGGACTGAGGCCACAGCAATGCTCTGCCCAGATCTCCTCTTTCTCATCTCTAATGATTGATGACTGACCAATTTTCACAGTTAGGTTTCAGCCATGGCCACATTTCCTGTAGGCCTCCATTGTTGTGTATGACAAGAACACTACAGAAGGCCCGTTGCTGAGGAAGGCAGAGGAAAAAGGGCTATTTGTGTTGGTTAATTAGTCTCACCCAAAAGGCAAGTTAAATGTCTACCATCTTTGCAACAGGAAGCAGTTTGCCACTTAGAGGAAGGTGCTCATAAAGAGTTTAGCTCCTACCCTTCCACAGAAACAAGGAGACATAGGTCTATCTTCTTTCATGGTGGCATTCCAAGGAGAGAAGAATAGAGTTGAAAATACCGACTGCGCAGACTCACCCACTCTATTATTCCACTCAGGAGCAGTAGCGTTTTATAATTTTTAACGACTATATTTAGACTGTGACACCAACTTGAGTTCTGATGGAAGACTCACTTTCCTGTGATCCAATGTTTATTTATATTAATAAATAATTATTGCCCAGGCTAATGAAACAAACAACATTAAAGTTAAGGAGATCTGTTAGAGAGCTGGGGGCCTATTATTGTTGCTACATGTCTGAGACACATCAAACACATCTTAAAATATTAAAAAATTTATAGTACCAACTAAACCATCCCGTAATAATAGTTCTAAGAGCAACCCCCAAACAAATTAAATCTTTAACTATCACTTCGTGACTAATTGAAAAGGAACCTAGAAATTTGTGTGTATCAAAGTCCTAAGAAGATACTCCACACATTTATTTATTCATAGTATTTATTAGATTCAGATGTTTCTATGAAACACTTCCCTTTCTCATTATTGGTAAAATCAACTTTGTGAAAAAGATATTTATGTAAAGTTTCATTACTGACTGAGAACTCACGGGGTTTCATAGTGTTTCTTCTGTACCGTATGTAACACCTCTGAAA